ACATATAAACAATTATATTTAATATATTTACTTTATAAATAGAATTATATATAAAAATTACATAATGCATATAATTTAATAAATATTGCCAAATAAATGAAATTAAATAAATAATATATACCTCAATATATTTCATGTAATTTAAAAAAACATCTAATATATATAAAAAAGGATTAAATTAGTAATATATATGAGAATTTATTGATAAAGAAAAATATGAAGAAAATTGAAAATTAAACTATCAATAAATTGAAATGAATAGTACCTCTTATTTCAAGTAACATATTAAAGAAAGAGGAAGAGGAAAAGGAAGAGGAATGGAGAGAGCAAGAGAAAAGCAAGAAGGAAAAAGTAGGAGAAATGAAGATGAAATGGAAAAGGAAAAGAAGAGGAAAGGGAAGATTAAGATGAGAAAGTGAAATATATTAGTGAAGGAAGATAGGAGAAAAAAGAAAGTGAATTTGAATGAGGGATGAGACAAATGAAACAAAAGAAAGAAGAAGATGGCAAAAAATGATGAGGAAGGGTAGGTTGGAGGTTTATATAGTTAAATATTATTTTCCACAGCTCAACACTGAAAAATATTGTGGCGGGATTTTGAAAATTTTACAAGTAAAAAATAATGCTTGAATGTTGGACTCTAAATTTTAGATAAAATTATTTTCCAACACTAAAAAATAATATAAGTGAGATTTTGAATTTAAAAAAAAAATCACTTGAATATTTGATTCTTAAACTTCTAATAAACTTGTTTTCCAGCTCAAGGCGTTGGAAAATAACTGAAGGCACTATATTTGAAAATTCTAAGGGAGCCTTGCATTGTTTATGAATATGAATGAGTAGTGTCAGTAGGGTAAGATTATTTTCCAACACCAAGTGCCATAAAATAACTTAACCTAATTGGACACGTGTATTTTTCAGCACAAGCACTAGACAATATGCTGAACCAATTGGACAAGAGTATTTTTTAGCACTAAGCACTAAAAAATAACTTATACAACGTAGGCATCATTATTTTCTAGTGTTGAGCACTAGAAAATAACTTGTACGTTATTTTTGTTATTTAACTTTCATGGTTTTAAGTTTTAAAAAAAAGGTGAAAAATATTTTT